CAAATCTGTTCTTCAGATGATCTCTAAATTCAGGTGGAATAAATTCATGGTCATATTTTGGCTCTCATAGACTTGTTTTCATTTTCTTCGGTTTCAGTTTGAATTTCCATATCAGTAATTGATGGTCTGTTCCACATTCTGTCCCTGGCCTTGTCTTCACTGATGAAATGGAACTTTTCCATCTTCTCCTTTCACAGATGTAGTTAATTTGATTTCTATGTGTTCCATCTGGCGAGGTCCATGTGTATAGTTGTCTGTTATGCTGTCTAAAGAAGGTAATTGATACATACCTGTATTAATATCTATATTGTTCTGGTAGTTAGCTGTCCTTCTGTCTGTCCTTGGCTCAGGGCAATCTTTTCCATAGTTGAACAAAACTGCCTGGTATTGTGCCATCTCCATTACAGGTTGAATATATGACCATTGTTACCCATATGGCCACATTTCAGATACAACAAAATATATGTAGACATGTGTAAATAGATTTGGAGTCCTAGTATTGCACTGTATGATAATTTCTGGACTGCTGACCACAAGGTCCACAATTTTAACCCACCAGTAGCTCTTTGGAAACACTATGCAGAGTTGCTGACTATACAATTCTTAATAATGAGAACAAACAAAGCTAATCACAAATTTATCATTATGTGTGGAAACTTGAAAATTGGAAATAAAAATTCATGGTTCAAGGCTCACTTTAGAAATTACTATAAAAATGTAATGTAACTATATATGACAATAGTTCCTGGTGGCACAAAGTTTTAGCAAGCTCAGCTGCTAAAGGAAAGGTTGAAGGTGATTTTGCCAAGAAGTGGTTTGGAAAAAAAGGCCTGGCTATCTTCTTAAAAAAAAAAAAAAAAATCAGTTTTTAAAAACTTCATGGGACACAGTTCTACTCTGATATATGTGGGGTCATCATGAGTAAGAATCAACTGAATGACATCTGGTTTATATGCTGACAATGAAATATGTTGCCAAAGCAAAGGAAAAAAGAAAATGAAAGTGTAAAGAAAGTTTAGAATAGGCTTTATTCAGGGCATAATTTTACTGGTATTGATGTAGTTACATATAGAAAAAGAAACTATTATTCCATTTGAAGAAGAAGAATTAGATGTGATACTGATTATAAGATTAAGGAATTGTAGATTAAGATGATATTTATGGCACAGTGAATTTACTTGATATGACTCTATTAGCCATAGTCTTTGTAACTCCAATCAAATAATTGATTGGGTGGGACATGCAAATAGGGATTCTAACATGTGAATTGGTTGGTTTTATCATCCTACTGGGTATGAGGCAGCTCAGAAGCAGGAATAGGAAACCAAGAGAGAAAGAACCAAGAATGGAGAATGTTGTTTGGAACTCAAGATCCTTATGCTAAACTTCTTCATTCCAGGAGACAGATAGCTCTGATACTAGAGAAACAACATTGTGGTGAAGTGGTAGAAAAGAGGTGGCAGCAGAGGTACAGCCCAAGAGCATGAAACAAAGTAGCAGGCTTCCTGGCCCATGCAGCAAATAAAACTGAGTGTCTTTGGATACGAGGCTCACTGAATTGGAGGAGCTAGGTTTTCTGACCCATGGAGATGGGCACCATTAGGTTGAGGCTTATGATGGAGTACTCTAGGTATTTACTGGCAGTACTAAAGGAGCTATAGAACATTGTCTGACAGGAAATACGACCAAGGGGTTACATGATTGAGAGGCAAAGGAACAGAGCAAGGCTTACCTGACTGGAAAAACTGGATCCTCGGTATTTTTTATTCGGAATTGTAACCTTTTAACTTACCTAACAAGCCACATAATTGTGAGTAGTGTCTCTGAGTTCTGTGTGGCTATGACTCATCAAACCCAGTAGAGAAGCAGAGACTGTTGTAGATGTAGCAATCAGAACTGGTAAGGAAGTTTGGAATTGGAAGCATGTCTGTTTTCTACCTCATAGTAATCAACCAAAGGCTGATGCTGAGAAGGATTCTCTTCCACTCCTCTTGTGAAGTCAGAGAAGGTCAGGCACACACCCAATACCATTTTTAAATTAGTATGGTCAGAAATTTAAAAATAAAATAATTTTAAAGTCAATGACTATAGTTAATACAAAAGCTAGTATCTTTCAAATCTTTTTTTGTTGTAATTAACAATAAGAAATATATTTTATATTGAAAAGGAATACAATTATATGCATTAGATATATTTTTTATTCTTTTTCTTTTATGTGGTGCTTTTATGTGGTACTAGACTGCAAGGTTGGTTTGAACTACAAGGCCGGTGATTCTAATTTACCAGCTACTACTTGGAAACCCTATACAGGGTTGCTATGAATCGGAATCAACTTGACGGCAGTTAATAACAAAACATTTAATGTTACACAAAGTTTGAAAAATTTGGATCTAGTTATGTTAAAGAAATGATGATTTTTCAAATTTATCTAAAGGACTAAGACACTCTGTATTTTATAGGAGATATTACCTTTCATATGCATGTGAAATGAGTTAAATTTAATTAAAAATTCCATATTAAAACCTCTTCAACATTTTAAATCAATGTAACAAAAATAGACATAAATTACCACATAATTATTTGCAGTATATTACTTATAGTATCTTAAGTGATACTATAAAAATCTAAAATGATTTTTATATGGAAACATTTAGTTGTTTTGATGCTTTGATGTTATTATAAAGTCTCAGTCTTTTAGGTAGTGTTCATATTTTTATAATTTTTCCTTTATGGGAAACTATTCCATGTATTAAGAAAAAAGTACTTATAAAACATTGTTTTATTAGTATTGTTAGTGAAAAATAGAATTAAGGAAACCAACGCTTTTCCCCCCAAATTTAATATTTATTTTTCTCAACCAATATATGATATCACATAGCTTTGTAGATTTATTGAGTCTTAGTGTGGTGCTATAGGGTAAGCACTGGACCATTAACCACAAGGTCAGCAATTCAAATCTACCAGTTGTTCCTTAGAAAGCCTATACAGGGTCACTTAGAGTAAGAATTGACTCAACAGCACTTAGTATTTGTAAAAGGTAAGTTTTAGTGTAAAATAAATTTTTAACCTATGTAGCTCACATTTTTATTTAGTTAAACTCAGTATATGACTTTAAATGCTGACATTACTTATTGAACTGAAAAAGAAATTTATTCAATTCACAATGCATAGTGAAAGCTGCAGTACAAAACATTATCCATAAAAGAAAAGTTTAAGCTATGCCTTTACATTACGGTAGGGAAAGATATAAATTATAAAATACATATGTATATCATTTCACTAATCTATTACCAGTCATAAGTTACAAACAATTTTGTGTCTAATTATATTTAATTGCTATGATATATTCATTGATGTTTATTTTTTGGTGTTTGTCAAATACATTATGTAGGACTTTGTTGTTAAGTGCCATTGAGTCGGTTCCAACTTATAGTGTTACTGTTGCATAGGGTTTCCGAAGAGTGGCTGGTGAATTTGAACTGCTGACCTTGTGATTCATACCAACCTTGTGGTCCAGTGCATTATCACACAGTGCCACAACAGGACTCCAAATAGGACTGTGTTGCTGTTGTTGTTAAGTGCCGTAGAGTCAATTCTGAGCCATAGTGACCCTGTATAGCGTTTCCAAGGAGCAGCTGGTGAGCTGGAACCACCAATCTCGCAGTTCAAGCGACATTGCAGTCTGACACATTAGCCCACAGCGCCACACCAGCACTATAGACAACTGTTATTTACCATCAATTACTTCTTAAAAACTAAAGCAGTTGTTGTCTATGGCAAAGTTACAACAGTTATGTGTAAAGTTCTTATCATTTACCTTGGATGGCTTTTCCTCCAAGTTGGGAATTTTGGATTAAATAGGCATTGATTCACTTACACAGTATTTCTATGAAAACAATGGTTGAATTGGAAATCTTTTGCTTTCACGATTATTAGTACTAATAAATGCTTGAAAACACTGTTAGCCAAAATAGGTGTATTTAATGATTTTTTTGTTAAAATATTTGACAATGACAAGGACAAAGCATCACGGTTATTTTTTCTGCTGTTTCAGCATAAAAAACAATACAAAACAAAACAAACATTTATAATTACTGATGTAATAAATTGGCTTATTTTACTCAACAGTCATATATAGAACACTAAGTAATTTACATAGATTAGAATAAAAAGTTTTATTTAAAAGTAGGCACTTTTAATATTGGTGCAAATAATCTTATAAAAGTATACTAGTATCATTTTTCTTGAGCATATCTAACATAACATTTTATGCATTTTAATTATCTTGTTAAACCTTACATTCCTGAGATTTGGGAGTCAAAGTTAAAATAAGCAAAGATGATAGAAGTATTTTTCCTAGGTGGGAGGCTGAACTTTGAATCAGCATTCTTAGTCACTTTCTATAATTTTTCCATACATCAGATTTTTCAGTTGGGAACTATTTACACTACAATTTATTTATTTGTTAAGGAATGGTCCCCAAATATGCCAACATGTTTAAAGAGGTAAGATGTTCAGCTAAAAGATGGTACATAACAAAAAAATTATCACTGCTAAACATTCGCCATTGATAATAGCTTCCCTCTCTTAAAGTATAAGCTTGGAAACAAAATGAGTCTTTGTACATCAGGTTTAATTTAAAAAAGTAATTCAAGTATATTTTTTAAAATGATGTTCTAAAATCAATATTTATGAACCACAGATTTAAATATATTTTTTGAATGGCAGAACATTCCTTGAATACTCTTTGCTTTAATCATTAGACTATAAGCATCGCAACCTACCTTTGGTCCACATCATATACTTGATAACTCATGATTTTCTTGCCCATATGCTTACTGAATCATTTAGAAAATCATTAACATATTAACATCAAACACATAAAGGAAATTTCTCTAGTTCTCATTTTTAAGAAAAGCTTCAAACTGTAACATTCATTTAAAAAGTGATATTCAAAATGAAGGTATGGTCTGAATATGTTATTTGTTTTTATTTTCATAAATGTCCCATCATAAAATATTCACTGAGTATTTCCAAGAAGCGGAATTGTGTCATAGTCTTGAAAATGAATTCCCTTAGACATCGTGATCTTCATAATAGCACCATTTAAAGCATCATCTTCAATGAGGGTTATTAACCCATTGGCAATCATTGATGGGCTGAAAATAAGGAAAATAATGATATTCTGAAACTTAAGTATAGGGTAAATTTTTATTTTATTTATTTTTCTGAACAATCTACTACCTTTAACATGGAATAGAGAAATATACGTTATCATGGTATTACTGCCTCCAATTATATGACAAATTTCAGGATTGCTTGTGGCACTGTGGAATCTTGGTGTGGTGTTATAGGATAAGCCCAGGACCACAAGGTCGGTTTGAGTTGCAAGGTCAGCAGGTAAAACTCACCAGTCACTCCTCGGAAACATTTTACAGGGTTGCTATGTGTTGAACCTTAACAAGTGGCACTGCATGATAAATACTGGACTGCTATCAAAGGTCAGCAGTTCAAACCCACCAGTCACTATGGGTGAGAAAGGTGAGGTGTTCTGTTCCTGTAAAGATTTACAGGGTCTCAATGAGTCAGAACTGACTCAATGAAACCTAGCAACCATGATAAGAATAAATTTAGTGGTAGATATCATGCCTAATCTGTCATTTGGTATGGAGGTTTTATACACATTATTTGCATTGAGAAAATGATTATTTTCTGATCTTTATCATATCAGTAGATCCTAGACTTACTAGATAGAAATATTGGAGTTTCCATATTAATAATTTTAGGTAACACTTATTGTTGTTGACAGTTGTCCTAAAGTGAATTTCAACTCATAAAGAATCCATGGGGCAGAGCACAACTATCCCATAGTTTTCTAGACTGTAGTCTTCACAGGAACACATTTCCAGGTCTTTTTCCTGTAGAGATACTGGATGGGTTTGAACCTGCACCTTTTTGTTAGCAGTCAAGCTCTAAACTGCTGCACCACCAGGATTCTGTTAACACTTATTGTTGTTGGTGTGAGGTGCTGTCAAGTCGGTTCCAACCCATAGCTATGCTATGTTTAACAGAATGAAACACCACCTGGTTCTAGCCATCCTCACAATTGCTGCTAAGCTTGAGCCTATTGATGCCAATTCATCTGGTTACGGGCCTCCCTCTTTTCTGCTGACCCTCCACGTTACCAAGCATGATGTCCTTATTAGTAATCTATTATTTATACAAAAAGAAAAACAGACAAATAAAACACTTCCATTAAGTTGATTCTAACTCCTAAGGCCTAAGCAGAACTGCCCCATGGACGTTTCTAGACTATAAATCTTTATGGAAGCAGACAAATCTTTCTTTCACAGAATGGCTGGTAGATTTGAACTGCTGACCTTTGGTTAGCAGCCAGGAGCTTAACCACTGCATCACCAGGGCTTTTGTGTCAGAGTTTTATTATTTGCATTATTGTTTTTCATGATCTTACATATATTATCTTATTTAAATCTTCCTATGTTCCTGTTTGCTTTAGTATTATCCTCATTTTATATATGATAAAATTGAGACAACTAGAGGTTGATGAATATGTTTATGACCAGTGGGCAAGACATATATGTTCACAGGATTCCTTTGACATGTTAGCTATGACTGTACTGCGAAAGCTATGACCTCTTGCTGCTCTAACTCAAACATTGTTTATCAAATGTATGTAGTGCAATAGCTGAAGTTATGAAAATAGCTGAAGTTATAGAGTCATATAAAATTTCACAAGGATATATATGAATATTATTTGAAATTTAGATAAGTTATCATGACTACCACTGCCTTTATAAATGATTAAATATGATCCTTTTCAGTTTTTTTAGTACCCCTATCTGATTATGACTGAAGACGTTAATGAGGCATTGCTTATATTTTAAAGCAAGATTCTTAATGTGTAAACACTTTCTATTTAGTAAACCAGAAAAAAATATTTTCTTTCAGAGTGTTTGCTAAAGCTAAATGTTGAAGCGCAAATTTTAAAGTTTAGTTTTTCACTTCTTATTGTTATTATCTGGAGTCCTGGTGTGGTGCTGTGGGATAAAGCACTGGACTACAAGGTCGGCAGCTCAAACTCACCAACTGCTCTTTGAAACCCTAGAAAGGGTTGCTGTGAGTCAGAACTGACTTGATGGCACACAAAAAGAACAAAAACAATTACTTTATTCCTTCACATAAAGGAAAATAATTATAGCTTTACTTACTCCAAAATTCCATAGTATTTCATCATATCCTTGATATGAGCCGTGTATTCTATATATTGTCCCATGTTTTCTTCCTTTTCAATGGATTCGAGGATGGGTGTATTGACAAAGCCTGGACAAATGGCATTCATTCTCACACCACTCTTCATGAGATTAGCGGCCATCTGCCAATTAGAAACAGAAGGCTGCAGGTTTTAGCAGTCTTGTACAGCATAGGAAAGACTGATGAAACTCTCTGACATAGATATTCACCTAACTATATGGCAGTGATCATGGCAGAGTTGACTGGAGAGCAAAAAGGAAGTAAAAGAATACACACCTAACTCTTGGAAGTATCACATAATTAAAACTTTTTTAAAATCAGTATTATTGGACAACTCCTAAAAATAATTAATTTTTAAAGTTGCTCTTGTCTAGTTATTCCGTACAGTTACAACTGACGTAAATGGGACTCTGAAACTAAAAAGGTAAAGATCAGAATTACATCCCAAGTTTTCTTTCAAAGACTGGAGTTATAGAACATAAAATATTTGCTTAAAAATACTGTCTGTGGAACTATTGTGTGCTATGTGTGTGTGTAGTCAATTTTAGGACTTTGGTTCTAAAGAGTGGGACACTTAATAATTCCCAGAAGTGCATCACTGGGAAGATCATTTAAACATTCATAGGCTAACATTCTTAGGTTTAATTTTAAAGTTACTAACTTCATCTGAAATATTTGTAAAATAAAATAAAATTTAACTTTCCCGTCTAATAATTTTAATTACAAATTCCTGGCTTTTAAGATTTTTTTTGTTTTGTAATAACTTCATGTGTTCACAAAAAAACTGAATCAAAACTTGTCCTTGCAAAGTAAATAAAATTTTCCAATCAATATCAATTTGAACTATGAGAGTTTCTGACCTTCATTTTTAATTTAATAATTAGCATTCAGGTGTCTTTTATCTATCCACTAGTATTTCCTCTGTTAATAATTTTTTGTCATCTCTTCTCCCATAACTGTTGCAGAGACATCCCAACTTTTCTTTCTGTTTCTACACTTGCCCTCTAATACATTCTCTAATAACTTCCTGAATGATCTCAAAATGAAATATGATAATGGCATGCCTGTGCTTCAAAAACTCATTGTTGTCGCATCTAGAATAAAATCCAAGCTTATTACCAGTACCAAAATGGTCTTAGTTGTCCCTGATTCCTAACTGTACCTCTTGTTACTTGCCACTTGCTCAACAGGCTTCATTCAAACTGCCCTTTCATCAGTGATTAGGAAAAGACAAGTGTTTGCTTCTCACCCTAGTGATGTATGAGACCAACTGTTGCTGTTAGATGCTGTCTTTGTTGTTAGGTGCCATTGAGTTGGTACCGACTCATAGCAACCTTATGCCCAGCAGAACAAATCAATGACCAATCCTGGGTCAACCTCACTACTGTTGCTATGCTGTCTAGACAGATATTGTCTAGTAGATTCCAATTCATAGCAACCCTGTATAAAGTTTCTGAGGTTGTAAATCTTTAAGGGAGCAGAAAGCCTCATTTTTCTCCTGAAGAGCAGCTGGAGGGTTTGAACTGATAACCTTGTGGTCATAAAGACATCATCCCTGACCACTCTATGGAGCAAATGTTTTCCCACACAATTCTCTCTAGCAAGTAATTTCTGGAGTATATTACATGTACTATTTTTTGAAGCCTAAGGTTAATGATTTTTAAAGTTGGAGCCAATTTTTTTTTAATTAAAGAGTATTTCCCTATTATTATAAAACCTTAGAATGTTTTACAAGAACACATATAAGTTTAGAATATATTACATTTTAAAATGACTTATTTTTAACATGCTACTTTATATAATCTGAAAACTATTTTTATACTAATGATTGAGGTTTAATATTATTTTTCTGTCTTTTATCCAGATGCATTGAATTCTGCATCTATTTCTTTCTGCTTTATAGTCATGTCGCATATATGAACAGAAAGATGAGAGATGATGTAGTGGTTGTAGCCTCACCGCAGCTGAGCGTGTGAATCCAATTATGCCATGCTTTGAAGCACAATAAACAGGCTGTTGAGCAACAGGCATGAGCCCTGAAACAAAAAAAAATTACAAACATTTAGACAATTAGATTAAAAATTAAGCAGACAATATCCAGTAATTTGTGCCTATTTCAATTTAACACTAGTGATGACTAAAACAGTCACCAAACTTTGTGAAATTCACCAGGCTGAGCATAAGTTATTCTTTCCCTGACCTCTACTGTATTGTCCTTGATCTATGATAGGCAAATTACATTTAAGGGTACAGTCAAGAATGATAGATAAGCTTTTTTGTCTCCCTAATTTTCTTTCAAGAGAATTCAATGCTCTTTAACACACAAAGTGAATCATCTTTAAATCCAATAAAGCACCACCTGAGTTCAATTTTTAAGCTTGGATTTATAAAAGTGCATATTCTACATTTTTTTTAAGGCTTTAAAACAGCTAAGGAAATTTAAATAGTTCAAAACACACTTGTCTTTGCTGTAAATTAATATACAGTTCCCCATCATCAATCTAGACTAAATGATGTCAAGAAGGTTTAAGAAAACTAAAAAAGTAAATTCTCTTGATTTTGATCTCTAATAGATGCCTGGATCAATTGATCCTTTGGCTTAGGAAAAGAAAACAAAGAATAAAACTGGTCCTATTTTCTTTTCTTTCATAGGCAACAGCAGAATTCAAGCAATTTTAGAATTTGGTTTAATTGGTCACATATACCCAAGAGTAACTGTTTAAAAATAATAATTAAAGACATGGTCTGGTGAAAAAAAATCATATTATAATATGTGTAGCATCTTTTCTCCCTTAGGTCCCAGCTCAGCCCCAACTTCCCATATAGAAACAATGCAAGAAAAACCTACTTCACTGTGGTAGCTATCAAACTAATTTCTCACAATTGCTAATTCCTTATCTAAATAACACTCAAACTCTTAATTACAGTCCTTTGAGTATACTAGGTTTTTAACAAATTTTTGAAATGTTTTAACAGCTTTTTAAAATTTATGATTTCTCTGAGTCAAGAAACAGTGATCCCTAATTACTATAATGTTATTAATATCAAATGTCATGCTAATAATATGAAATTATTCTGCTGAGGCGTGCTCATCTCCACCCAACTAACTATTCTCAGAACACCACCAATCAGTTAAACATGTTGTGCCAAAGTTCAGCAATAAATGCAGACCTTAACCACTCCCTAGGTGCCTGCCAGGTCTCAATTTATAAAGTATGTTTTTTCAAGAACAGTTTAACTCCTTAGGATGGTAGATTGCACATAGTTGTCAACCCAGTGATCTCAAAGTACTGTAACATGTTGGTTCTCTTTTTTGTTTTGTTTTAGGATAGGTTAAATGTGTAAGTTAATTAAATGCATCAGTGTCAGTCAACAAGAATTTATGATGTCGCTACAGTGTATATAGATGCTTTGGCAACACAAGATAAAGGGAATAAGTAGGTGTAGCCAGATGTTGCTTTTTTCGGTTCTTTTAAATCCTGTTTTACCCACTCCTTAAATGTTTGTGAGACAAAGGCAGTGGTTGTAAGATAGTGCTAGTACTGCAAGAAATGCAGAGAACCTTAACCAGAGATAAGCTAGTTGACACAGCCACAACAAACACAAAGACATTGCTTATAAATGTTATCGAAGTTGAATTTGGGATTAATCTTCATTACATTTGTGGGAGGTGTTAAACTTATGAACTCAAGCTAAGTGTTATAGAGGTAAAACAAATCAAATCAAATGATTGGCTCTGTTAAGAAGGAAGCACACACCATAGATTCAAAGGTACAATTGTAAATGCTATCAGAATGTGAAAGAACTTGGTTGCATTTTAAAAATGGTACTTGGTTTACTAGGTCTTGTAATACTCTACTACCATTTTCACTGCTACCCTACAAAATGTTTACCCTTACATTTTCTTATATTAAATCAAAGGTGTATAAATCAATTTCAAACAGTCATAAATTAAGCTTTCTATTTTTTTCTATTTTTTCTGACAGCTTTATTGACATATAATTGACACACAGTAGTGTGTATTTTAATGTAAATATATGCCAAGGAAACTATGAAACCACAACTATAGTCAAGATAATGAACATAATCTATAACTTTAAAATTTTCCACACACTCCTTAGTAATTTCTTTCTTCTCTCCTCCTTTGACCTTGGGTCTACTAATGATATACTTCCTATCATCACAAATCCATTATAGTTGTTGGAATTTTACATAAATAGAGTCATACTCTTTTTAGATGGCTTCTTTCACTCAGGGTAATTATTTTGAAATTGATGGATATGTAGCATCAAAAGCACATTACTTGTCCTGCTTCTTTTTGGTGAATAGTATTTCTTTGTATAGGGAGCATGGCGATTCCATATGATAAGCACTGGACTGTAAACCACAAGGTCTGCAATTTGAGCCCACCAACCATTCTGCAGGAGAAAGATTAGGTTTTCTGCTCCCACAAAAAATTTAAAAAGCCTCAGAAACCCTATGTAGGGTCACTATGAGTCACAACCAACTTGAAGGCACAAAAAACAACAACGACAGTTCCATTGTACAAGTATAAATTGCATATCCATTCACCTGTTGTTTGAGTTGTTTACAACTCTTGACTGTTACAAATAAAAATAGTTCTAGTTTTCAATTATTTTATTTAGGGAGTGATGATGGCATAGTGGTTTTCATGTTGGATTGCTAACTACAAGGTCAGCAGTTCAAATCCATTAGCAGCTTTTCTGGAGAAAGATGAGACTTTCTGTACCTGTAAAGATTTATAGCCTCTGTACTGACTCAATGGCACTTAACAGCAACAAGAGGCAAGTTATAGTACTTAACTAGGCAAGTTACAGTATACTCAACTAAACAGAGAACTTTACCCTATCTCCTAGAAACATTTAGATTTTAACTTGCTTCTTGAGTTTTGAACACGTAGTGTAGGTTGGTGCTTTTTTGGCAACTTGCCAATTGACTTTCAATGTAGAAATTTACTATCTAAATTACTTCAGTTTTACTTCTCAGAAAACAGGGCCTACTAGTGGTCACACAACCCTTTCATGAGACAGTATACATATCCATTAAAATAAAATATTTTGTTGCAGAGATAGCCAAAATACAAATTTGTATTGAAAAAATTAGGACAAGTAATACCAATGAAGTCCTGTTGTGGTGCTGTAGAATAAGTACTATATTGCCAACAGCAAAGGTCAGCAGTTCAAACCCACCAGCAACTCTTTGAAAACCCCATACATGGTCACTATGAGTTGTAAGTGACTCCATGGCACTTAACAACAACAATGACATGAGACCAAAACTGGTTTGAAACTATTTCCTCAGTAGAAAGTAGGTATTAACTTTCTTGGATCATCTTAAGAATGTCCTATTCCAGTTGGTAAAGGAGTGGTAGGGACATATTTCTCCTTATCTTCTGCTTAATAGAACCTTCAGTCAGATTTATTTCTCTGTACTTCCTACAACTCAGTAACAACAGGTTCCTTATTTTCCCTATAGAATTCATTGGAAAGTCTCAGGCCTTAGCTCTTTCAAACACCTTCATTTCCCTGCCAGAACTGCCACCCTTTATCCTCACTAAACATAACTTCTGCTCTCCATGTTCTAAACTCTTACACGAATAACCTCCAAACTCTGTCTTGATTGACATTTTCATGAATGATCTTTGTCTACAGATGCCACAGCATCTATGCGTTCACATACATACCCACATCTTAAAATTGTCTGTATCGGTAGGGTATGTTAATGATCTGCAATGCATTTTATCTGACTTCATTGACTTGCAGTATAACACAACTATACACAGAATCCCTACTTGGTAGAGAAGGATTCTTCAAGAAAAAAACAAAAACTGAGAATTGAAGAGAGAAAGAAAGCTGTTAAATGTTATATCATAGAAATTATAGATGAAAGTATATTAGAAGGTCTAGTTTGGGTGTGACATTGTATGATAAGCTTTGGACTGTTAACTAAAAGGCTGTAGTTCAAACTCACCATTCCCTCCTCAGAAATGCTATACATGGTTGCTGTGAGTCAGAACAAGCTCAATGGCACTTAACAACAACAAATAACAATGTGGTCACTGGACCAAGTGAACAATTAAATGAGGACCGTTCTTATTGAAATACGAATGTGCCCCAACATTACACCATCTAAAAATAAATCCTCTCTTGGTCTATCATATTTCTCAAGCTAATTTCACGTTTCTCTTTCCGATAAATGTACTCAAAAGAAGCTTTATAAGACTCAGTAAAAAAGCTACTAGACCTCATTGGAAGATTCAGCAAAGTGGCAGG